CATCAGCAAATGAGTGTAATTGCAAGGCACTTAGCAGGTTCCTCGGCGTAGAACTTCATTAGATTTGTGTAATATACTGCTACCGTATACCTACCGTAACCCAGCAAATTGCGCGATATGGAGCTGTGTTTAACATAGTCCCTGCGTTTGCTCATGTTAGGGCTTTTCTACTCGCTGTCAGAAGGAAACATGGATATTCTGATTTTTAACTCAAGCGCACATTTGCACTTCAGTTTGCTCTCAAGATTGATGATTCAATAATCCAAAGATTTCTCAAATATCTGAAAAACGAACTGTTCGCTTTGTCGCTGTCCGTATCTTCGAGCGACTCCGCTTTCACTTCCACGTTCTCCTTCCGCTACCTTCATGAAGTTGTCTACCTGAAGAAGGTGATTTAAATTTTTAATGTTTTCCAAAGGTAGAGCCTTGAAGAGCATAGATGCTTATGTGTACGAGGGAAGTTGCATTTAGGTCTCATTTTGATTCTTCAAGATATGCTGAGAATCTGAAAATCAACTCACGATGATGGTGATGGGAAGAGCCAGAACAAGTACTCCGCAAGCGATTGCTCCAGTTGCCACGAGTTTGCCAGCTGCAAAGATTTTAATTGGCGTAAACAAAAACAGGCAAAAAGCAAATAGAAAAAAACGGATTTCGTAAAATTCTTTTTGTTCCAACATGGATTAATAAAATAGATGTTTTGGTAATACTGCACTCCTTTTGATAACAAATAGAAGGATAACCAGAACATAGAGTTAAGTGAAGAAAACTCACGGACAGTGATTGGCGTAAGGTCACCATATCCTGAAAATAGAACTTTGTAATCAAACTTGTTGCATTTCATTTCGTGATTGCCATGCATTCGGTCCTATTCGTGAATAATTTGATTTTTTTTCGTTTTTATTCTCAAGAATTTTAGAAGAATCTGCAAATTAATAGGTGGTGATAAAAGTTCCCGGATACTTGAGATTCAAGATGTCGTAGCTTCCAGCAAATGACCCTTTTCGAAAGCTATAGATTTTGCGACAAAAACAAACTTGTCTGTAGCATATGCATATCTGTATTTTCCAGATCAGATACGGTTTGGTATTGATAAAAATTCCGAGCCTTGAAAAGTTCAGGCTTTGTTCTGCAAAACCGTATAAAAATTTTATTGAAGTACTTGAGTGCGAAAAGTCATGAGTCAGATAAAATTTTAAACTTTTTTGATCCCTCTCCACAATCTAATAAGAATGATGAGCTGATTGATGACTGACAGATCTCTTTTATCGTTTTGTTAGGACGCTTTAGTGCCTGAAACTCTATGAATACAGTGAAACTATAACAACTGGCCGTCTTTTTATTTTGCTTACAAATGTGCCACGAATTTGATACCGGGAATTTGATCTGAACTCACCAACAGTTGTCATTGTTACGATGCACCTAAATATACGCACTTTGTATCACTTTGCTATACATGGGGGTGACTACCATAAAAATTGACATACCACCAGCAAGCAGCGGGAATAGAGTAGAACTGTGAGTTTGGTTCGTCTTTTTCTAGAAAATATACCAGCGTGGAGAAGAAGATTACACCCGTCAACACGACCATTGCCATCATTCCCAACTGACGAAATGATGCCTGCAAAGTTTTTGTTGAAATTTCACACAACGAAGATTTTCCCACTTCATTAAGATGCTTAATTGAGAATTTACAACAAAAGCATACCTTGAGCGTTTTTCCAAACATTTGCAAGCCACTACTATAGCGACCAAGTTTCAACACTCTAATTACCCGCAGTACTCGAAGTATTCTTATGACCAAGAATGCTCCCTAAAATTGCAAACCTGATTCGGAACTACTGATCCTACAGTATCTCTGACCCTACCTTGAGATCTCTAAGTTGATCTGTGCTTATACCAACCATAAACAACAACATTTCTATAACAAAAGGGAGTATGGCCATCAGATCTATGATATTCAACATTTGGAAAAATGTTTTCCGTCGATCTGACGTCACTAACATTTTCGTCACTGAAAAAAATTTCTTCGAATGACAATACTGTTTAACGTATCTCGCATTTAGACTTACCGTACTCCAGCAGGAACCACACTATGCAAGCGTATTCTATATAGCCTAGTACGGGATGTGGCTCCATGTCGGTAACAACTCCTGAAATTTACAAAAGTTAACCTTATCTTCACCAGGCCACTTTTGTTACATTTGAACAATTTCGACTTAAAATCATGAACTGCAGGTTTGGATTTCGAAGAATGCAATTAAAGTTTACAAGAAGTGACCTAATTCGCAGTTTTCTGTTAGTTTGAACTGTAAGAAGCAAATATGACTTTCCTGAGAAATAAACAAAATTCCTGTCAATCTTTCGCATCTACAGAGTTGTACCTGATTTGAGGAAATGAAAACTCTAAAAAATATCTTGCTCACCTTCAGTCGTATTTTTCTGAACAGCAACTTGCAAATCTGGAAGGGATCCCAGCACCAGTCCTGAGATTGATATAAGCACGAATAAAATAGAAAATGTGGCAAAAATTTGAGCATAGCCGGAACTGAAAAGAGATAATTGATTGTGTGCTGGTTTTGCTTATCCAAACTTTTCCTCACTTTTTCATGCAGAAAATCAAATATTTTCGTCATTATATGCTCTAAAAAATTGGAAGATGGTACTTGCAAATTATTTTTACTTCTTCACTATTTGTTGTGCTCAAATGTGCTCAGAATAAAAGGAAAATGTTATTAAGATATTGGTAATTTCAACACCCCTAGCCTTCAGAAGTGCATGACTCAACAAACAATTCCCAATAAACTACAAAAATTATTAAATTAAGGGGAAACGCATGTGAGGAAATAAAAGGTTATTTTGTTCACCTCGTCGGCTCTTCAATAATGTTCCAAATTTTCCTTCGAAGTTCTCCCAAAGGCAATTGCTTGAAGTGATTAGTCGGCGTTTCTTCAGAAGAAAACGAAGAAATAGAGTCCAGATCCTGGAAATAGTGCAAAGTATATCAAATGACCATGTAAATTCATGTCACAAAATTTGTCTATTTCCCAGATTGATATGCAGAAATTATTTTCTTAAAAAGAAAGAATGTACGTCATTATCTGCACAGCAACAAGGAGCGAGGTAGTTGTCGGGTACGATGCCCCAGTATTCTAATTCATCGAGAATGTCGATGGGGCACAGATGAGAGGGCTGGTGTATTTGTCCTAGAGAGAACTAGTAGAAGCACTCAAAAAATATGCAAACAAAAAATCTTACCAGTCAGATAAAACTGATAGACGATATGAAACAATGAAGGCGGTCGCTCAAAGTAGTATTCATTAGTGGATGAGAAGTACGCATCGGCTAAGGTGAGGCGTTCTGCGGTGGTGTCCATATCCAGAAGCCACACGAGTCGACCTGGATTAAGAAAATTATTTGTTTTCTCTCTAGATCGTACCCTAGCCCCAAACTGAATTTGATGCAGAACACTGACGCCGAATAGAACCCAAACATAATCGGTTTTTTTGAGAATAAAGTGATTTCATGAGATTCAGAAGATTGATTTGTGATATGCAAGGGAGTAAGACGCTTCTATGCTTTGGGAAACAGGTAGATAACATTACAGATTCCGCGACCCTAGACTCCCCCCTCCTCCCCCTGCCCACTGTCTCTGCCCATACAAGTCAAATCTAGGACTCGGCACAGATGGCTTGAAAGCAAGCTGGATATCGTTTTTG